AAATTACTTCTAAATACTGTTACTAGCATGAAATAAAAATGGCATACTCAAAGCACTTAGCATAATGTCTGCAGAGAGGGAGAGGACAGATATATATGTAGATTGACATTTTCAAGTGAGAACCCCCTCATATCAATTTTAGATTCCAGAACTGTATACCACCATCTATAATCTAAGACTTCTTCCTTCTGGTCTACCTTTGCTATAATCTTCAGCCTCTTCCCCTACCTACATAGCTCTTCTACCTTGTTTCCTAGGAGATTTCACTGGTTAGGCTTATTTCTAGAAGCCATGGATCTTTTAAGCCATGATCCTGGAATGTGGCACCAAAAAAGAAAAAAAAAAATCTTGTGCCTGAAAAAGTGACCCTACGATCTGCTTGTTTCCTGCCCTCATCCTATCCATCTCCCCACCAGTCATGTAGCCGTGTCAACCTGAGTTTCCACCTCATTCAGCTGCTACTGCTGCTGCAACCTCCTCAGCAACTCCAATCTAAAAGCAGAGTGGCCTGGAAAACTGTAATGGTCGAGCACCATTCTGCAAAAAAAACAGGCTCGTACAGTTCAAATGGGTCAAGCTCATAAAAGACAAAAATGACCAATAAATCATCACAGATTGGAGAACACTAGAGAGACATGAAAAATAAAACAATATATAAGATTCTAGGAAGGATTCCAGCCCAGGAATGTTTAACTACTATCATCACAACTTTGGCTGAGCCTGATCACTAAACACAGTCACAACGGGACTTGTTGATGGTTGTGCTCATTCATTAAAGGAGGGCCAAGCAGGGTCACTGGACCCTCACCTGAGTATCCAGCCACTCTTCCCAGACAACTAGTTCAGCCTTGGAAGACAAAAGAAAAATGAGGATAAGAAACTCCAGTAGACTCTCATATGAACATTTGAAAATTGCCCTGTTCTGACTTTTCTCTAGTTCCCTGTCTAGAACTTGTAATGCTAACTACTCTTGCCTTTACTTCTCCTTCACATCTCCTAATCATGATTCAAGGACTTTCTTCTCCCCTTAGAGACAAGAGTTAAGCAATTTGGGAGTCTTTTAAATAGACCCACTGAAGGGGTACTCCAATTGCCTCACCCTGCATCCCTGTACAGCATGGAAGAAGGCGGAGTGGTCTGCGTCCCTATTCCTTATTGGCAATTTGGATAACCCCTTCAGAGGATGGTGTGGTAAGAATAGGAGGTAGGAATTGGCTAGGCAGTTAGGGTAAAAAGACCCCAAAGAAATGTAGTCAGTTTCTGGGCTAAAATTCAAAATGTCCTTGGGCCTGTAACAACATACTCTGTTCAAAGGCCAAAAATGTCAAAAGTATTTGGGAGCTTGTATCTAATCCTTAAAAATTTTAGGGTTACCTCTTCAGAGGGGGGAATGTTGGAGGGGAGGGAGTGGCCATGGATTTGATCAAAACACCTTGTATGCATATATGAAATTCTCAAAGTTTTTGTAAAAATTTTAAAAAAAGAACGTTAATTAAAACATTGGTGAATGACTAAGGTCTATAGATTCATTAATAATATTTCAAAATTAATTCCTTAATTTTAATAACTATGCTATTACTTTAATTGTGTGAAATGTAATATGTACTGGGAGGTCGAATACTATTTTACAAGCTTTCTTTAAGGCTAATATTATTTCAAAATAAAACACTAAAACATAAATATGATTATTTAAGATTTATTATAAAGAGTTTCTATCCCAATGGACTTAAGTGATATATTTTTATTGTGAAATGGTGCATCTGATGTTAAGCCTATTGCAGCTGGGGTATCACACAGGTTAATAAAAAGTCAATTCCAAGGTATGGAAAATCCACCTTAATCACTACTATTAGATTGCAAATCCATTAAGAGAGTATGATGCCATCTACATACATTTAGTAATACTGAGAACTTAATGACAGCAAATGATATTTTGCATGACCTTTCATGAATCACCATAACTGAATAACATGCTTAACACGGTCCACTAGGACCAACTTTTCCAAAAGAAAGAGTCAGGAAAAGATAAAGAGATGTGGTGGGGGGTGGAGTAAAGGGATGCCAGGAAGTGTAGTCTAATGCATATCTGCTCCTTCCCCGATCGCCCATGCTTTAGGAACAGCATTTGTCAACGTGCTCTGAATGAAACCTCTTGCAATAGAAAGGAAAGTCTGTTCTGCTACATCACGTATTTCTATGACATAAGTTAGCTCTCAGACACCTGGTAAATGGAAAAAGGATTTCAGTATAACACAGAAGGTACATTTATTCACATGCGATTTTAGTCCCCACATCATTAATGTTTTCCTCATTAATAAAAGCAACAGAAGGCCCAGCACACTAATGGCAGCAAGCTAGGAAGGAATCAATAACATATTCAACCCCTCTTAGAAGTGGAAACTGCAAGGTTGCAAGGTCAGTTAACCTTGATCTTTGTTTAAATATGAGAGAGAGAGAGAGAGAGAGAGAGAGAGAGAGAGAGAGGGAGGAGAGAGGAGAGAGAGGAGAGAGAAATACAAAAATGCATTTCTAATATTGGCATATTTCATACAAACTCACAACTTGTTGTCTCCTTGCAATTTCTGATGGCTAAAATCTTCTATGTTTGTGCCCATGATAACTTCCTTTTAACACCTACCAATAGGCTACCTTCACCTTTTGGGCTTTAAATATAATACCATATTCACTGTAGTATATTAGAGAGTTCATGTCTTTTAAGTTGTACTACAAAGATTGTTACTGTTCTCCTTGGTTTTCTAGTTACATAAACCATACTAGTTTCAGTACAAATTGAAAAACTGAAAATTTTTCACTGGCCAGGGAGATGGCTCAGTTGGTAAAGTGCTTGCCGCACAAGCACGGGGACCTGAGTTCAATCCCCAGCAACCACATAAAAGTTAGACATGATGATGCACACCTATTAATCCCAGAACTGGGACAGTAGAGACACATTTCTTAAATAGATACCATTGCTGATGTAGTAGTAAAAATTATCACCTATGTTAAGAATCATACTGGTACTTTTTGTAAGAAAAACAGTCAATATTATTTGGCATGGATTAAATGTACAGGTGAACTGTTATTGCATCAACGTCTTTTCAAAGGAAGCAATCTATAAATCTTACGAAAATATAAGAACATGTCTAGAAAGCTATTTTGCTCAAAAACTAAGAAGAAAATACTTTAATACTATATAACTCTTATAGTACTATCTCAAGCTAAAGGAGAAATGAGTGTCGAATTTCTTGTTTCTTTCTCAAAGAAAGGAACAATATTGCTTAATGATTATTTGTTGTCAAATAATACAATACCAACACTAAGCATTCTTTTATATAAATGAGTCCTGTTAGTGACAAAGCATAATGAAAGAAAGTATACGTCATCTGTACATGACAAAGATACAGCACATAATTGACTCATTAAAAATATAGTTCACTTTAGCAGCTATAATTTAACAGTCCCAATTTGAATATAAATGTTTATTTAAGTTAATTCATATAATAAATATCAATCACTACAGCACTTACCTAAAAGAGTTGTGTTTTCTTTTATAAATTAATCATGATATGCCAGGATATTTTTATGGACTCATACAACCCTGAATTTCAAAGAGCCTTCTTATGCTTTTCAATTATATATTCAAATTTACTTGCTTAGAAATAGTAACATGTTTTGATGGGGAAAGAAAACTGCATAACTGCTTGCTTGTAACATGACCTATTTTACTTGGGTGTGAGGATGTAACCTTGTCAAACCAAAGCCAAAAGAATAATGTGCCCATGACAGACTTATTCAGCACGGAAAGGTTTTTAAGGAGGAGGCAAAAAGAGTGCTTGGACAAAATAAAAGTATACTCCAAAGAGTAGAGTAATATTAAAGAAAGCACTCAAAACCCAAGAATCATTTAATCCCCATCCTCAGCTGTCTACCATCAAAACTCCACTCAAATATATTTATTTCATTAACTACTAGCCAGATTTAGGTAACATGTTTTTCAAATGAACCTTGGTAAGACCAGCCTGGAAGGAGACAACTGATGGAATATCTATTTCCACTAGGCAAGCTTATCCAAAGGTAAAGATGAGCAAGTCAATAGTGGTTTGCTTCCACCTGTTATAAATTACCATCAAACAAGGGGGAAAAAAAATCATTCCAATTCATGAATAAGGAATACAAAATTAGAAAGGTTTCCACCCGATAGTAGGTTTTTACTATCACTAAAACAAACAGCAATAACACCACTACATCAGTTGCTACCCCAGTGCACCAACTGCCATAAAAGGACATCATATTGGAAATCTTTTTATAAATAGCTGCAGCCAGAAGAAATTAGGCAAGTTCTGCTGCAGTCCTCTCTGTGTGAATTTACTTTAAAACAAACAAAAATTTCAAATCTAAAGCACTCAAGCATGTACTAGGACTATGTATTATATCATTGTGTCAATTATGCACACTTTGACATTCTTTTTCTACAAATAAGACTGAAATAAAATTTTTGCTCCTAACCAACCACAATATTTTAACAGAGAAACAGTGCCACCTTTTGATGCCAAACAAAAGCCTACAACACTAGTGTTCCAAACTCCTTCTTTTCTTTAAAGGTAAATTTACAACATACAAAAATGTCATTGAATTTTATATCGTAATTATCACCTCCTAAAAATGTTTTAGCTCCAAAAGTAATAGAACATGGCAATAACACAAAAGTTGCTTACAAGAGGCAAAATTTCAAAACATTCCAAAGTAATATCAAATGTATGTATTTAAGATCATTAGTACAATAATCTCTACTCAGTCTTTCATTTTACCAAATCCAATTATATATATATCAACTGATATATATTAAGTAAAAACTAAATTCTTCTAACATTGTTACACGTCAATATTGAATATATTTCAGATGCATTCATTATTTAGTAATTGCCAGAGTATTAACAGTGGGTTATCAGGTAAGCCAGATCCACACAAACACAAATTCAGTATATTTGTGAATTACTTACACCAATGACACAATGTCACCACGCTGTACTTCAAAATTCCTCACTTTCCAGTGGTTCAAAAGTACGACATCTGATGACTGGCTTCCCCCGGGATTCAAAGAAGGCTACAAAGAGAACAGGTATTTATCACTTGTACTGTTTCAGTGCTTATGATGCCTTGTACGTCACTACCTCAGCAGAATGCAATAACACACTCCTAATACTTTCAACCACCTGCTATTCTAAGAGCAAATGAGGTTTTGAAAAAGGCTAACTGGAATTCTGTCCAAATGAACCAGAAAAAAAAAATAATAAGATGATGGAGGAGGAGGAGGAGGAGGAGGAGGAGGAGGAGGAGGAAGAGGAAGTATTTCTGTTGGGTATGGTGGTACATGCCTTTAAATCTAGCATTCAGGAGGCAGAGGCAGGAAAGTTTGCTAGGTATTCAAGCTTTCCTGGATTCTATTTAAGAGGTAAAGAAAGCTTTATGAAAGATGAAAATAGAGACTCAATTTCTCCAAGAGAATATTCAGGTGGGATCAAAGTCCACGTCACTGTTCCATATGGAAAAAGAAGGCATCATTGGGAATCAACAATCAAAACATCCATATGAGAAACTACAAGGAGCAAAAGGAAAAGATGATGGGAAAATGTAGAGATTTAGACCCTTTTCACCTCTTTTCCCAAGAGCATGTACCAAGGGTCCTGGTCTCACTTTGAGCCTAGCAAATGGCCCTCTTTCCAGAATTCAGACAAGTCTAGCTGTGCCTGAGGATGGATAGAGCAAGAACTGAAAAGCATCAGGCTAAGAATTTACCTACCTACAAAACTTTGGCTGATGCACCACAGAAATAACTATGGCTGCCCTTTGGAAGGCACAGTAATATACATAGTCAGTGGATAAGTCTGAGACCTGAGGTGGAGCAGACAGATGAATGAGAACAAGAAAGTGTTTTTGCTCCTGACTAAGAATGTCACCATGAGAAGCAGCAATTTCTGTGATGACAGTAGGGATGTCAAACTCAGATTGTACCTTCACTGAAATGCTGATGGCGGCAGTAAGAGGCAACAAAGGAAAAGCCTGCCTCCTGGCACAGTCACGCCCTAGAACAGTAGTGACATACTCCTTTCTTTCTTTCTCTTTCTTCCTTTCTTTTGTCTTTTAAAAAAAAAAAATAGGGTTTCCCTGTAGCCCCAGCTGGCCTGGAACTCACTATGTAGACTAGGCTGGCCTCAAACTCACAGAGATCCACCTGCCTCTGCCTCCCAAATGGTTCTTCCTTAATCTCTTTTTTAGCATTTTCACAAGATTATCACCAAAACCCACAATAAGAAAGGCATTTTCCCTGCACCTAGTACACATATTACAAACATTTATCTGAATAAAACTTCTTAAAAATTTACCTTTAATATATACACCCTAATATTTTCTGATCTCTCCTAATATGTCCTTTTTAAAATTCTACCTATGTCCAACCATATTGATTCTGCATTCACTATATGGATTTTGAAACCTAGTAATGGCTTGTAATCCAGTATTAAAATCATGCCTTAGGGCAGGGTGTGGAGCCATCTACTGTGGCTACAAGTAGATGCCGTCTCAAAAAAATAAACAAAACATGCCTTAGATAATTCTTCTTCATTGTCCTCAAACTTGTTTCTATCCCCAGTGTCCTCACCATAATTGTACCTTTCTTTCATCTCTCTCTAAATTCTTTCTCATGAAAATCTCATTGACAGTCTCAGTGTGAGATAACATCCTCCTAAGGTGACTGTTGAATGCAAAGTCCCAAGCAACTTTCTCCTTGATACTAAATCCAAAGTGCTTCATACTATAACACTAGCATACTATAAGGTAATTCTGTTTCACTTGCTGGCATTTGTAAGTAAGCAGTAAACGTTAAATATGTTTTATCCTTTATTGTAACCCCTTAGTTAAAATTTAAACCCTAAAACCAGCAACTTCTTTTTTCAAGCACATATTTCCAACCAATAGCTGAGCACCTCATCTGATCAACTATTCTCCTGCTTATTCTTACTAGCTTCTTACCTCCTTTACTACAAAGGCTGTCTCCTACATAACAGTCAGTACCTACTGATCTTCGGGATCTTGCCCATCCCACCTACTTAGTGCTCACACCTAAGCAGTGCCATTACTTAAGTTGTTTTTTCACAACTACAAGATGTCAGATAAGCAAATATTTCTGCCTTAAGTGTTTCTCCTTTTCCTTCCTGACATCTAGGTAAGTCACATCTGGATAATGGCAAAGAACTTGAAGCCCATGAAACAATCTTCTATGAATTCTTTCTCAATACTCTTCTTTTTACCATCCTCAATCACAAGTAACCAAAATTTCAAATTGTCCTTCACACCCTATGATTACTTCTATCACAAGATACTTATATATCCATTATAATTACTCCCTTACCTTTTTCCCAAGAGCCTATAAACATCTTGAAAATAGATTTTTTTTCTTATATCTATATTCTTGGGACTTGAACAGAATTAATACATTTTTATAGAAATATCAATAAATAGTGAAATTCCCAGTCTCCATAAATGAATACGCCTCAAGCAAGATCCTATCCCACCTATCCCACCCATACGTGCTTCTTTCTGTCCCTCTCTTTGGTGAACAATAAAGCATTCATACTCTTCTCCCATGCTACATGGCTCTAGATCCAGTTTGAATTTCTCTTTGAGTCTACCCATCTGGGCAGACTGTATTCTGCCCAGAAATGCCTTTTCCCATTTGTAAAATTCTACACATCTTTAAAAGCCCAGCTTAGAGACCTCTCAACCATTCCTCTACGATGGTGAAAAAGACGCTAATAACAACAAACTAAATACCTACCTTTTTTTTTGTGAAAATTAAGTAATTACCACTTGATACTCTAAGGCTAGGGACAGAAGAATCCTTAGACCCCAATTCTTACATTTATAATCACTTATCTTCCCAACTTCTCTAAACTCAATTATCAGAAACAAAAGGTAAGACAGTGTAAACCACAGCTATATGCAGTGAACAAAAAAATGGAAAAGAAATAAAAATAAAAATCCAAGAAGACAGCATGCCTACCCCTCAAACAGTAAAATATTAGAATCTATAGCTAGCACCTGGTAATCCTTGTTTGATTTTTATAAGGGAATCGATGGAGCTCTCTTTTACTGTTCCTTTCCTCCTCAAGGTTAAATTAATTTCTCCCTTCTTTAGTCCAATAGCAATTTAGGCAGGCTTCAGTGATAGCACTTACTAGGCATCTGGTCTACACATATGACTTTCATTAAGGTGCAAGCTTCCCATATCTTACCAATTCGGTATGCTTAATTTCAAGAGTAATGAGAAAATACTATTTCTATAATTGAAGGTTTAAAAGATGAAAGGCTCTTCAAACAATATTTAAGGAAGATGGTTGCCAAGCATCTTACATTATGTGCATTACCTAAATAACGTATGCATCTCTCTCACTGAAAACATTCTGGATGAAGCCAGTTGTGATGGTGCATGCCTTTAATCTCAGCACTTGGCAGGCAGAGGCAGGCAGATCTCTGTGAGTTCAAGGCCAGTGTGGTGTACACAGTGAGTTCCAGGCCAGCTGGGATTTCAAGGAGACCCTGCCTCAAAAAGACAAAAACATAAAAAAATAAAAAATTTTTAATTAAAAAAAAGAAAAGAAAACACTCTGGATGAATGAATATAGTAAGTTGTTTCTTATGTCTTATCAAGTTAGGCAATATCATCATTAGGAACAAAGTTTAGCAATGCTTTCCTATTAACCACAACGGAATAATGGCAGTCACAAAGGAAGAGTAACTACGGTTACTACATTGTTCATTTAGGACCTGAAGTAACATAAACACAAATCACATGCCATCAAAATCCTTCTTGAATTGAAAAATTTTTCTTATGGTGTTCTAAAAACTATATAGTTCT